AGGAACACGCCACTAGCCGTCACAGCGATATTAGTATTTATCTTTACTATTTTTATTTCGGATGATGCGCTACTTTGCAATCGCTGCTTACGGAAGGCCCACCATTGGATCGGAACTTAATTTGCAGAAACAGGTAGTCACACATACCAGTCACTTTTGCCTGCGCAATTCAATGAAGGTAAAATGCCGTTTACGCACACGTTACAGAACGGAACCCCAAGCGGTCAAAATTTCTAGAGGCCTCTATTACGGCGTCACTCACGATCATATTGTAGTTTTGGGGCGTAAAACCCCAACAAGTATTGTTTTTATCAGAACTGCGTTATATACGCTGAAACCAAAATATTTCCAGAGCATTTTTCTGTGACACAATCCTCGGGAATTCAGCAATGTGCGTCGTAGAGTGGGCCTCGTTTATTAAGCGCCCTGTCAAGAAATACCGGGGCATGTGGACACGCCACGGCGAAGAGGGTGACTACGATAGAACAACGACAAGTGAACAAAAAAAGAGGGGGGGGGGGAGCAAGCTTCGCAAAAACAAGCACACAATGAAAAAGCTACGAGCTTCTTAGAATACTAACCAAAATTTTTACGTCGATCTCCGGAGAAAAACTGTGAGAACGTGGCCTCGGAAATTGAGCGTCTCCGATCCCGGAGGTCGTGGTCAGCACCGTTGAACTCCCTGGCTCAACGCCAAGTGGCGCAACACGTCCATCGACGACATACGAAGTCCTCGCCACTGCGGCAGCCGTGTTCCCCGCACGAACAGGCATTCGCGCGGTTCTCTTCAAACGAGAAAGGCGCAGGCCCTTCGAATATGAACCCTCTACGCGTCGCACTGTTTCTATGTGTGGCTCAAGCCCTGTTCATCTTCTGTTCCTGCCGCGAAGGTAAGCTACCAGGTTCAGACATCGCGCGAAGACGACGTTGGCGCTACTGAAAGTTCGCATTTTCCTACAGGTCCGCCAGAAATAATGCCCTTCTCGTTCTCGAAGAACGTGGTGCTGGGACAGAAGACCACGGTCACCTGCGTCGTATCCAGGGGTACAGGACCTTACCGGTTCGAATGGAAGCACGGCGAGCGTAGAGTCGTGGGTGACGGTCGCAGGCACGTGCAGAACCTTGCCGACAACGTCGGCGCGCTGACGATCGAGGCGATCGCCGCGGAAGACCTGGGAAACTACACGTGCACCGTCGGCAACAGCGTCGGCAGCGCCAGCTACTCGGCGACGCTCGTCGTGGAGGGTGAGCCCGTCTCGTAAACTCTGATAATCGCTGCCTTAAGATGTTATGATGACTCCTTGTCAGCACTAACGAAAGAAAGCGCGATTACGATGCGACCAACGTACAGCACACGCGAAAGAAGAACACCTCTGTAGTGCAACGGCATCTTAAAGTTAAATAGATGTAGGAACGCATGACGGAAAAGAGTCTGCTAGCGAAGTTTCGTCCAATTTATCAGTCAGGGGCTTTGTGACGATTTCTTTTTGTTGTTCACTTTCACAGTCAACGCGTTTGCGCAGACCGCACATTTGTTGAAGCTAATATCAGCTCATCGTAATAGAAAAGGTGCACTCTATAGCAGAGTGTACTTATTAATTTGTGCGCGGCTGCCTCTGCACATTTTCCATCGAAGTTTGAGCGCAACAATGCTTTGTAGAAAAAGAAAATATGACATCTAATTCGCAGTGTGTATGTTCTCATCACAAATTCTCTTTAATGGTCTTGTCCTAATGAACGCACAGACACATTTTACTGTATCGCTCATGACGAACGCTGAACTTTTCCTCTGAAGAACACCTGCATTTCCCCGTGGCTTCCCCCTTAACTGGTTGTTTAAGTGCTACTCATACTTATCTGATCTCTCAGGAAACGTTCTCTCTATGCGCTCCTTTCAAAGCGATGTTTGAGTGTCTTTAGTGCAGCGGAATGATTGAGCAGCACACTTACGACACGTCGCGGTACACGTGGCACTTTGTTTGAACCGAGGCACGGTCATTTGGGACGCCTAGCTATGAGATGCCTGCGCAGGCCAACGCCGAAGCATACTACCACGACCAGCCAAATGGCATTGCTTAACGAGCCGCGGCGTTTTTAATCCTCGAGCTAAATTGCTGAAGCCCTTTCAACAATATCCAAGATGCAAGTTTTCGCGCTCTTTCCGCTTAGTCACTACAACGTCCGCAAAGCGGCGCTAGTTGTTCGTAAGTCGCGGTGTGGTTTGTGACAGCACAAAAGCGCAGCGCCAGCAGCGCAGTCTGGCAGAACAGTCAACGGCGCAGAAGACGCCTTATATTCTAGAACACCTAGCGCTGGTTCCTCGTATTCTTGGATAAATGGCACGCACCGGCACTGTAGCGTCGCTTATGCATCTGACCACACTCCTCTGCCTCCTCCATGTACGCCCTGACTGCCGCTTCAGGTAATGTGGATTTTTTTTTTTATTGGAAACCATTCCGTAATGGGCAAATATTGAAGCTGAACGCTGCCTTCGTTTTGAAACAGACAAACCCCGGATACAGCCTCTCGCATTTCCCGAAATCGTCAACTTGGGCGAGGAGGTAACGGTCACGTGCGCCGCTGCGTTCGGACGCAAGCCTTTCCAGTTCGTCTGGACGAAGGACGGCAAGGCGATGGTGAACAGCGAGACCAAGTATTCGCGCGTCGTTGTCGACAACATATCCGTGATGACGATCGAGAAGGTGGGCGCAGAGGACGTGGGCAACTACACGTGCACGGTCCGCAACGACTTCGGAAGCGACAGCGCCACAGCCCGGCTCATCGTGGACGGTAGGGAAACGCATTGCTTTCAACTATGCTTTGCAGATAAAAACTTTTCGCTAAGGTATGTCTGGTTGGAAAGGTGAATTGAGAAATAATCTCACAACTCGATCCAACCGAGGTAAAAACGTAAAAATCCTGCGCTCATATCATTTTTTTTTTTTTGGTTCCTGGTGTGTTTCTAAACCCTGACCGTAAAGCACCTTCACTACCGTAAAATCCGAGAAAGTACGTGGCACGGGTAATGGCCTCCGAGATGGTGACCGCGCCGCGCGCTGGCCATCTCGGAGGTCATGCATGGGTTGTCCTCAGCGACTACCTTGGCCCTTGCCACACCTCAGCACTAGCGCAACTGCCGATGCGGTGGCGCCCTCTCGCACACAAAGCAGATACTAGCCAGATGTCTTAGAAGCGTTTTTCCCGATATTAAGTGAACTTGCCCCGGCTAACTCTGGAGTACTTATATAGTTTATGTTGTTTCACGCTCTGTTTGTTTATTCCGCACTCGTTTTGAGCATTTGTAGCCTTGTTGTAGGCCTGCATTGAACACTGCGTGACCATGAGACACTGGACAGATGACGAGCAGGGCGCTCTTATATAGACCCGACGTTTCGAAAATAGCCCGGGTTGTTCCACACGGAGTACCGCGACCACGTTGCTGTGACGCCTCACAGTCATTGGCGCGGCGGTCATTCGCCAGTCGCTCTTCTGCGGAGCGTAATCTGCGTGCACAGAGTTTTCTTGGTGTTGCGGGAGAGGTTAGCGCTGAAATACCCCGCAAACGCTTAATCGGTTTAAGTTTTGAAAACTCAACAACTAGCACACATGACGCTGAATACTGCGGCAATTGGCATATGACAGCGCAATTTTCATGCAAGCGCCACGATAATTAGTTCCACCAGCATTCAAACACGAACCCACTCCCACACACGTAAAAGACGGATATCCTGCCTTATTTTATTAGGTAATCAGTTTGAAACGGTGCTAACGGAGAATATTCGCTGCGGAATCGTACTCGAATTTAAGAATTCGTTCCTTGCTTTCACTCCGTGTTTTCGGAGCTGTAGCACACAGCTTAATGCCTAGAACAATAAGAAAAGCAAGTCAATGTGGCCAAACAGAGATGTGTGTGATTTGCTGCCTTAAACGGCAGAGCCCAGCTCCCTCGTGTCTCTGTTTAATCGCGCTGCTATATTATTCGAGGAAGCCAAAACCATCAAGCCAGCATTTCACTACCAAGCATCAGCAGCAGTGGCGCAGCCATGGGGAGTGGCACACCAGGTCCGTGCCTCCATGCCCGAATTTTTTTTCGCGGCGGTATACAGAGCACAAATTGACCATTTCGAGAAGGTGCCTACTTACCCCCCTCCCGAAATATAAAATGTGGCCTCTCCCCCCACCCCCACACCGAAAGAAATTCACACAGGTTATTCCTCTCCTAGTCGCTAGTCACGCAAAATTTGACACATTCTTAATACGTTCTTTTTGTTTAGTTGCCTACCAGTGGCACCAGCCCTTTGTAAAAAAAACCGCGGTACCGTGCCGTCCTACGTTTTCGGATACACTACACTACAGTTCAGAATGGCAACGCCTGCCTTTGTTAATCTTTGTTACGCAGGAAGTATGCGAAAAAAAAAAGCTTTCTTAGTCCAGACCACCGAAGAGAACTGAAAAGCACTTTTATAAGAAAGTAGCATCACCGAAAAAAAAAGTAAAACGAATTAATACCGCGTGTTCGCCTTCATCAACGAAAGTGCTACGTAAATTGTTGTCACGGGTTCAATTCTTCACCGCAGCATCCACAGTTCAATTCCGATATAACGCAGAAACGCTGGAGCGTGGTGTACACATTCAAGACCTGTACGCAGGACAAAGTCGCTCGGTTCTCAGAAATACACTGCCCCTACCAGTACCTTTTCAGGTCGTTATACGCCATGTCAATCTCAGTAGTGTAAACATTTTCAAGAAATACAGCGTGCATATTTTCGCAGCAGATTTAAAGGACACCATTTGGTCTTGTCACGCTGGCAGTGCATTTGTTCTATCAGCTTAAACGTTGCGGCGAATAAACTACCGAACAGAAGTGTATGGCGTTTCGTCCAAGCCGCGAGCACACTCTCGCCGAAGGAAGCTTCGCGTCGCCGACTCTGGGCGGCGCTAGTTGTCCAACCACATCCGAGTCACCCAGAGAGCCTCCGGTATAATCTTCAAAAGGCGTCTCAGTCAAGCTTTGCTTTTCACTGCGTGGAGAGGCAGCGAACGGTCAAGACGGCAGGAAAGTTGTTGCTCGGACACATCTCTTTGCCTAAATGAGAATGTCTGCTCAGAAGGTACTCCTCATATGCGCACTTCACATTCTGCTATGCGCAGCCAACGATTCCGGTAAGTGAGGGAGTTATTGAGATGGAAAAAAAAAAAAGTAGGATTTTCAGCTGGATTATTGAACCGGAAATTTTCCAGCTGGAATACCTTCAAGTTCGACATTTCGGCCTCCAGTTCGACATTTCCGCTCGAAGTAGATGAATGACCACAAGACCTCTGTCAGTTTATGGCAAGAATTCGCCGATATTTCTGCTGGAAATTCGTGCATTTTGAGCTGAGTTATACACCTTTTCACTGGAGGGAAATTAATGCCGCCATGTTGGGCTGCGCGCTCGAGCACAAAGGCTGAAGTCGCAACTTCCAGAATACATTTTCGGGGTTCACGCCGATTTGCGCCGTCCAGAAGTGACTATGGCGGCGCCAAGGGAGCCGTTTTTTAAAATGTCTATAGTGCCACAGCTGAATGATCAAACCGGAAGCATAAACTGGAAAGACTTCCGGTCCAATAATCCAATTGGAAATGAAACTTTTTTTTCCCCATCTGGTAACCCTTGCTACTGGGTGTCTCGTCCCCTCGGCTGATTCGTACACACTGCTCAGGATCTCTGACAGTGATGCCATTCTCGTTCTCCAAGAACATTGCCCTCGGTCAGAGGCAGATGGTGACCTGCGTCGTGTCCAGCGACGCCGGTCCGTTCCGCTTCGCCTGGACGCACGGAGACGAGCCGGTAAAGAGCGACTCTCGGAGGCAAGTGAAGATGCTCGCGGAGAACGTGGCCTCACTGTCCATCGAAGCAGTCAGGGCCGAGGATCTCGGGAACTACACTTGCACCGCTTCCAACGCAGGGAGACAAGGGAGCTACACGGCACCACTCGTGGCGAACGGTGAGAGTTTTCCCTGAAACGACGCAAGCATTTTTTTTTCAACGCCTTATCAGATTTACTAAACTTTTTAAAAATATATAGTCACCCACAGCGAATATATACTGCGATATGGGGATCAGAGCAATTTTTGACAGAAGCGAGCAGTGCCCACGTGTTATATAATTGTTGGGGTTTAACGTCCCAAGACCACGGTATTATGATGGACGTCGTAGTGGAGGGCTCAGAAAATTTGGAGCTCCTGGTGTTCCTCTGCGCCTGAATCTAAGAGACGGGCATCGAGACAGGCATCGAGCCTGAATCTAAGCAGACGGGCATCGGGCATCGAGAAGGAGAGACATTGAGAATAGTATAGCTTGTTTAGCACGTCGGGTACAATGTATTAGAAAGACCTATACTGGATAAAGAAGTTCTTACTGGCTTTACTGTTCCTTTTTCTTTCCGTGTCTGCACATTCCTATTTAACCTGACTAAATTCACCAAAGTCCTGTATTTCCGCTAGCTCCTCAAGCAGCATTAAGTATAAGTCTACAGCCCCATCACCACTCTTTTCCTCCTTTATCTTTTCATTCCATTTCCGACGCCTAGCGTCACCAACCAAATACTTTTTATGGCTAACGTTTATGCGTTCTCCCATTATATCTCCTATTCTCATATCACAATACGTGCGCTCTACTTTTATTTGTGTTAATGTTTTTCGCAAAATGTGTTCAGTTTCTAAGTACTTACCGAAAACAAAATGCACGTTTCTGGCCTTGTGAAACGAGTTACTGAGTGCCGCCACCGTGGGAATAGCAAGATTAGATAATATTACTTATTAGAATTTAACGCCCCAAAGCTACAATGTGATTATAAGAGACGCCTTAGAGGAGGGCTTTGAAAATTCTTCACCATATAGAGTTCTTTAACGCGCACGTCAATCTACGTACACGGGCTTGAAGAATTTTCGCCTCCATGGGAAAATGTGGCCGCCAGCAAGACCGGATATTATAAGAAAAGAAAAGCAGTACGCCTGCAATCGGACAGCATCGAGATCACACAGTTTCTGACATTGAACAGAGAAAATTATCATCCAGCCATTCGAGGCTCGAAGATTGACAGGAAACTCATATCGGTTTTCTCCAAAAGAAAACGTTCGCCTGTGTAAGGCTACGAAGTCCCAGTTAGGGTATATTTTCATCATTTATATAAATACTAAGTCCAATCTCTTCCGGAATAATACATATAAACGCACAGCCTTCGCTGTGTTTCGTTTATACCGCCACAACTTATACGAGCCGCGGCTTTTGCGACTGCTGAAAAGTGCGCGCGGAACCAAGGAGGAAGTGCGTGGCCGAGGATCTCGGAAACTTCCCAACTTCTTCCTAAACTTCCGGAAGAACTACATAGGTGGCGCAGCTCGTCCGTTGAGTAAAATTTCATCAAGAACAAGGAACATCGCGACCAAGCCACAGACCGCATTCGACGACTCCACTCTGCCGCGCAAACAACGAGAGAAAGGCTGCTCGCAGTAAGTGCGACTTTTCGAAGCTGTACACTTCTGTACTGACATGAGCTGCACTGCGAGCTTGACCTCCCAGCGGACATCTTTTCTTTTCATCGCGGTCTGTTTACACGTCGTTGCAAGCAACAAATGTAAGTACTACAGCAAAATAATACTAATTTCTGAAATGGCGCGAGTTTGAATAGCATTCGTCCACAGCACCACCGGTCATCATGCCCTTTTCCTTCGCCGAGGGAACCGCTATGGGAGACAGAGTACTCTTGACCTGCGCTGTAGCCAGAGGCACGGCGCCGTTTTCCATTTCCTGGACTCACCGGGGCGAGCCCATTGCCGGGACGGCGGCTAACAAGTACGCTACGCTGCTCAGCGGCAGCGTCGCCACCTTGACCATCGAGAGAGTGTCCGCCGAAGACGTCGGAAACTACACGTGCACAGCCGCAAACGAGGCCGGAAGCGGAAGTTTCACTGCGGCGCTCACCATTGAAGGTGAGCAGCACAGAGATGGGTTTTACGCGCGATGCATGAGCATCGGTTGAAAGCAGGTTGATGATTTCGTCTACGCATGCGCGGTCTTCGGCGGCACTAGACGTATACTCAAGTTGTGCACGCAGATATATTACTCGTGACGTCAGAAAAGCAATGATTTGATTGGCATGTGGGGTTTACCGTCCCAAAACCAACATATGAGTATGAGAGCCGCCGTAATGGAGGGCTCCGCAAGTTTCGACCACCTGAAGTTCTTTAACGTGCACCCCAATCTGAACACACGGGCGTATCGGCAACGTCAAACGGTGTTCCGTCAACAATTTCGTTATTTTGGTTATTCCTTCTTTCTTGCTGTTTTTCTCGTGCATGATGCTTTGTTGTCCGTGTTTCCACTTACTGCGTCGTTTAAAACGTGAACTATCGTCAAGTCTGAATACTGGTGGTGCTCAAGACTCTCGCAGTAAATGGCGTGTTTCTGGAGTCATTTGCGCTTTATTTTGGAACCTTAAGCTCGTACGAATCTATGTAAACGTTTTCAGACTTTCTCGCTCACACGTTGCCAGTTTAGCTAATCGCAGGCTTTCTTTTTTATTGAATTCCTACACACGGGGAACGATCGTCTAAGTCGATTTACGTGTTCAAATAATCGTGGCTTCAGAACCGTATGTCATACGTACCAGAAAGTGGCGTCGCTGACACAGATCAACTACATAAGAAGTGGGCATCTTTTACAAATGCACACATCTATGCCGCAATGCGAAATTCGAAATGCCCCATAATTTACAAAACGCACGACCTGTCACGGAACCATTTAAAGTGGCGCACGAACTTCACGGAACGACCAACCTAAACGCAAATCCCAGTTGACTACCCCGAACGCCTGACAGTCCTGCATGATGCGTTGGATATTCAGTGTCGTTAGATGTTCTCGTTGCCACTCGCAAGCTGCACTCGGTTAACTGATAATGATGTTTAGAAGACGACGTGACCACTGAACGGGAGACGAGAACTGCGAGCACCTGCAGCAGTTCTGTCGTTGTGTAGTATGGCCACGCCGCTAAAACAGAACTTTGTGGACTTCCGGGGCAAAAGACCTGAAACTTCGGCAAAGCAAAAATCAAAAGTTTATTTCTTCCTTTTTTGACACTGTAAGTAATCTGTGGAATCGACATCGTTGAGAACGTTTCAGAGGAACGCAAGGAACCGTAGCAGCATGCAGCAATATACCATCTATGGGAACATCACTCTTAGAGTGCAAGGAGGCAACTACGTGTGTGTCAAGCTGAATGGGTGTCAGTGCAGTACACTGCGTCCATTGCGCATCATGTTATAACTGAAAAGTGGTCACTCTTGTGATATTTTGATTGTTTTGATGTTTCCTGCTTAGAGCAGCAAACATGGCCAGTCTGGCGGACTTGCGGAGTTTTTGTTACCTGCTTTTAATGTTGCTCGTTCGGAAACTTCCAGTACCCACATTCCGTTGTCGCCTCTCCGAGAAGACGTACATAATTAGCATAACATTTGCAGCTACATAACAAGTTGAATCAGAAAAGCTAACATTACGTTGTACACATTTACCCCGACACTTCGTAAACTTGAACGTGCGTTCATCCCTGTGCCCATTTCAAAACGCGGTCAACTTTGGCACGGGTACTCGTACGTTCACCTAATAGTCACGGGCTGGCGCTAGCTGTCCACGCGAGATTTTCAGCTGACGTGGGCGGCGCGACACACGGGTTTATGAGAAGGCGCAGTGTGCGATCGACGCAGAAGCGCCGACTTCTCGTTAGGTCTGTTCAAGCATCACGTCACTAGACCCAGTAATGGTGCTATACCGGTCATCTTCACTTCTCATCATGATCATCATCACAACATGCGGAAGAGCACAACCCGAAGGTGAGCCTAACGAGAGATTACTCGGCATATTACAGCGCTGAACTTGTTTACTGCGACAGCAGCGGTGATGATGGTTGTTGATGATAACGTATTAATTAATACCGCCATCGAAACGAGAAGGCGGCACGTAGCTACCTAGCGTCGCCTTAAAAAAATGTCAGTGATAATGAGGTCTTACTTCAATTATTACTGTCTAGCTGTCTAGCTGCCTAGCTGTCTCTACTTATCGGTACACCCCACAACAGCGAGCGCATCCTTCACAGTAAGAGAGCATATTGGCCACAACGCACGCGATGTCATCTCCATGATTATAGCTTTGAGAAAGACGAAACACATCAGACATTAGACGCGTAGGCATGAATGGGTTCACGTACGTCCATGTTTGTCCGTCTCTAATTATTTTTTTTTCACCTGCGTTTCATACGGCGAGAAGGAACACGTGGAGCTTTCAAGTGACGCCATAAGCAGAGTTTTAGAGCTGATGCATGCAGCCTCGCCTCCGAGACACACGCGCACGCGCCAGCCTCGAGTCCGAGTACGACGCAGTGAGTGAGTGAGCATGAACTTTATTGAGGCCCTGAGAAGAAAAAAAGCGTTGCCGAAAGCCCCGCCAATCAATCCGGCAGCTCCATTCAGGTCACTTAAGGCAACCACAATGTTGTCGCGCGCAACTTTCGTGCGATGCGCGTTAATGGTCAGCGCAACATCCTCAAAAGTTCACATCGCCACATATAGAGGCTACAAGTTTCATATCCAGCGACTGTCAAAAGGCGAAGCTTTGCCTGTACATGATGTAACCTGCTCAGGCTCATTTCTTTCGCTTATTTTAAACTCGCCGATAGGCCAAATATAGCACAAAACAAACAAGTGGTCAGTTTGAGCAACAGACTGGATACCAAGAAATCAGAAAGGCAGCCTAGTACGACAGCAGCGAATCCGATGGATTGGCGAAATTAAAAAGCTTGCAGGGATAAGATGAAATATGCTCGCACAAGATAGGGTAAATTGTAATTCCTTGGCGAAGACCATCGTTCTGCATTGGGCTGGTAATGATGCGGATGATGACGCTACCTGACGACGTAACGGGAACGACAGCGTAAAACCCCGTACGGAAATT